GAGCGCATCCCATGACCGACAAAAAATTAAAAAATTTTAAAAGTCCTAGAGAAAAGACAGTGAAGCCATCCATAGTGAGTCACACCAATTCCAGCACTCAGAAGGCTGAGACAAAAGGTAGCAAATTCAAGGTCAGTCTGGGATACTCAAGGACATGTGCTTGCTCTGTCTCTTATACACTTACACATACACCAGGAAAAAAAAAAAAGATAATACAGATCTCAGTTCACCCTGGGAGGAAATCACCCTAGGATAAGGCCAGAAGAGGGCAGCTGGGTTCTAGGTTATTCCAATGTCTAATATAGCTATGTGTGTCCCAAGGAAAAGAACCCCTAAATAATCTCATATTCCTTAAATCCTGAGTGACCTTCCAGGAGGCAAACTCTTATTCTCATAGTACAGATACAAGAAAGGACAGTTAAGAGAGATGTTTAGCAGGGTGCTGGTGGCTCACACCCGTAATCCTAGCTACTAAGGAGGCTGAGATCTGAGGATCACAGTCCAAAGCCAGCAGGGGAAGGAAAGTCCATAAGACTCTTAACTTCAATAAACCATCAGAAAACTGGAAGTGGCGCTGTGGCTCAAGTGGTAGAGCACTAGCCTCGAACTGAAGAGCTGAGGGACAGCACCCAGACCCAGAGCTCAAGCCCCATGACCGAGAAAAAAAAAAAGAGAGAGAGATGTCTACTGCTGTACCAAGAAGCAATAGTAAGACAAACATCCAACCCATTCAGTCACATCATTTAAATGTTTATCATAAATATTCCAAGAATGAAAGATTCTCCTCATTTATATTTGTTAGCTTCAGTTCTTTCTTTCTTTTTTTTTTTTTGGATCTGGTGTGGGGGCTGAACTCTGGGCCTGGGCGCTGTCCCTCAGCTCTTCAGCTCAAGGCTAGCGCTTTACCACTTGAGCCACAGCGCCACTTCCGGCTTTTTTCTGTTTATGTGGTGCTGAGGAATCGAACCCAGGGCCTCATGCATGCGAGGCAAGCACTCTCCCACTGAGCCAACTTCCCAGCCCCGTTAGCTTCAGTTTCTATAATAGATCATCACTAAAGTCTACAAAATTGTTACAGTCACTTTTTGTTTGGGATTTTTTTTCTTACAGCAAATTTTAAGCAGCAGCAATAACAAAAACCATGTAAATGAATAAGTGTCTGATACCCCAGCGCTGTCCTTACTCTAATAAATATTGATGTTCCTTCTTGAACTCTTGGTCTCTAAGGATTTTCCAGCACAAAGCTCCACTTCTAATTGAATGTTTGTGGGTTACCTCTCCTGTTCTACCCACAACCACTGTAGAATTTAAAACATACAGTTTTCACAAGAAAGAAAAAAAGGCCTTCAGGGGATTCTCCTACACTAGAAACAAATGTGAGATTAAATGGGGCAAAGAAGGAAAATGGAGAAGGGAATGACAAAGGGAAGAAGAATCCAAGTACAGTTCCGTTTTGTTTAAAGAAACAAGTGAGGGGCTGGGAAGGTGGCTCAGTGGTAGAGCGCTTGCCTTGCATGCCTGAGGCCCTGGGTTCAATTCCTCAGCACCACATAAGCAAAAAGAAAAAAGCCGGAAGTGGCGCTGTGGCTCAAGTGGTAGAGCGCTAGCCTTGAGCTGAAGAGCTGAGGGACAGCGCCCAGGCCCAGAGTTCAGGCCCCATGACCGGACCCAAAAAAAACAAACAAAATAAGTTAATTTGCCTACAGAAGTCCCTACAAAGGTATCAGTGATGAATGTTATTTTAAGCAAACTCACTTTCTCCATGCTGAAAGGATTTGGTGGTCACACAGGTTTTACTCATTAATATAGACAAAGCAAGATGAAAGAAAAGAGAGGAGGGGGGAACCCTGTGGCTTATTTTTCTAACATTCTCAATGACTCCTACTCTGGTAATCTAGGTTACCCTTTATGTTACCCCAGATATAAATAGCATTCATTTCCTTTCACAGGCCAGCAGACTTTAATGCTTTGTCTCCAGAAAGAGAAAAAATACTCATAAATGCATTTCATTCACGATGTGTGTTCCCACAAAGCTGGTTCACCTTTAATCAATAATGAAATTAAAATGAAAGCTCCACTTCAAAAGAAAAAAATGTATTTGAAACCACCACTTCGATAAATTTTCCCATAACAGCCCAGAAGAGACTTCTGAGTAGCAGTTACCCTTCCAGTGTAAGGCTCAGATTCCTGCAAGAGCACACTCCAGGTCTTTGGTGGTACCCAGGATGCAAAGCAGATTAACTGTTTACAGAATGTCTTAGATGAGTACTCAGTCCAACATAGGATTCCCAGTAGGGTTTTTCTAGGTAAGAGGATCTAGTTGCCAGATAGCAGCAACAAAGCATTGCTCTCAAGTCAGAAAAATCCACCCAAAGTCAACAGTAATAAAAGAAGTGAACAGAGGTGCTGGTGGCTCATGCCTGTAATCCTACCTATCCTAGATCTGAGGATCCCCAAAGGATCTAAGACTCATTTCCAATTATCACCAGAAAACTAGAAGTGGCGCTGTGGCTCAAAGTAAAGTGCTAGCCTTGAGCAAAAGACCAGGCCCAGGAGTTCAAGCCCCATAACTGATAAAAAAAATTTTTTTTAATTTTTTTAAGTGAAGAAACAGAAAAGCTCCTACCTAAAAAAGCTACAAACCAACACCAGCGCAAGATTTTAGCAGCTACGATAGAACAGAAGAGCTGGCTCACATCTAATACTAGCTACTCAGGAAGTTGAGATCTGAAGACTGCGGTTCTAAGCCAGCCCAGGCTTGGAGATTCATCTCCAACTAACCAGCAAAAGGCCAGAAGAGGAGCATCAACCTTAACCAAAAAAGCAAAGGGTGGGCTGGGAAGGTGGCTCAGTGGTAGAGTGCTTGCCTTGCATGCCTGAGGCCCTGGGTTCGATTCCTCAGCACCACATAAGGAAAACGAAAAAAGCCGGAAGTGGCGCTGTGGCTCAAGTGGTAGAGCGCTAGCCTTGAGCTGAAGAGCTGAGGGACAGCGCCCAGGCCCAGAGTTCAGGCCCCATGACCGGACCCAAAAAAAAAAAAGTCTCATGGACTTCTCTGCCCTGCCTGGCTTCGAACCATAGTCCTCAGATTTCAGCCTCATGAGTAACTAGGATTATAGAGGCAAGCCACCATAGCCCAGCTTGGAACAGCCTCTTGCCTTGGCTTGGTTCGCCAGGCTACTGAAAGAGGGTATTTTGGTCATTTATATATAGGACTTGGAACCTGGACCTCCAAGAGCACTCAGGTGACCCAAAGGGTTTCTCTTATCTGTTGAAGCACATTGCTCCACTGAGACCAGAGCAATTTGGAAACACAGATGGCCCAAAGAGAAATGGGGACTTGGTTTGTTACCATGCTAATCATTTTAAGAGGAGCAACTTGGCAGTTCTTATTATATTACCACTTATTGTAGGAACAAATGCTTTCAAACTAATAATTCCTCTGCTGTGCTTGGATAGTTTGCCTATTGTGAAAGTAAATCCAATACTCTGGGATTCCTACACTTTTCTCACCCAGGGGCCAAAACAACAACTGGCTTTCAAGTTGGGCACCTGTAGCTCATGCCTGTAATCCTAGCTATTTAGGAGGCTGAGATCTAAGAATCATGGTTCAAAGCCAGCCCATGCAGGAAAGTCCATGAGATTCATCTCCAATTAACCACCAAAGAGCTAGAAGTAAAGCTGTGGCTCAAGTGGAAGAGCACTAGCCCTGAGAAAAATAAGCTAAGAACAGTGGCCAAGCCCTGAGTTCAAACCCCAGGTCTGGAGGGGGGGAGAATTGGGTTCAGAGCTGTTTGGCCTGATATTCTAGGGAAGACATCATTCTACTAAGGAAATAGGTAAAGCGTTCCAACAGCCTGAGTCTAGCCCACTGGCTAAAGAAGTAGAACTCACCTCTTTGTGTAGCCATTGGGTCTGTCCTCCTCCGCCAATTATCTGGACCCTGGCAGCCTCTCATGAAGGGCAATGAGAGGGCCTGCTCTTAAACTCTCTTCACATGTGCTAGCACATCTCAGAGTATCATGGAAACTGAAGCAATAGCTATCTCAAGACCAACTCTTCAAGTGAACTCTGAGATAAACCCAAGAGAGATGGAAACTATCAGCCTATCTGGCCCTTGAATCGCATCTTGTGCTAGCCACAGTGAAGAAAAAGCCTAAGCGCTGAGGAAGTCCTCAGCTGGCCTCATTTCCTCTCCTTTTACAAACTCTTGCTCAACCTGTCACCCTTCCCTACCCCTCATAGTTTCCAAGCCTTGTAAGAGCACAGCTACTTGACAAGACTCTTGATCGCTGACGTAGAACAGAAGAGAGTGGTACAAATAGGTACAAGTGGTTATGCCAAAGCTGGCGTGAAACAAGTGCTTCATGGGCACACCCTGGGGACAAAAACCACCAGGGAGCCCTTGGGGGAAGGAATCAGGTCTGCAAACTGACCCAAATTTCAGCCCTGAGTCTCTGGCTCTCCAAAAGCACAGACACCTAACTCAACAATCTGCCTTTTGTGCAACACAACATTAACCACCAAGGGCTGGATGTCAAAACCAAACAACAACAACAAAACCTTGACCTATTTACCTGAAGCTTCTCCTGGCTTCCAGTCCTAGGACAGTTCCCCCGGACTCCAGCTCGGTGCATGGCCCCATCCAGAAAACCCAGGGTAGAACCTCAGAACACACCGCACCTCATCCAGAGGCAGACACGGTCACGGTCGTGTGCACACCCTCCAAACTCAGATCAGGACCGAAGAGCACGCTCAGCTAGAAAAACTGAGGCCCAGAAAGAGGCCGCGAGCGGCGCCGGGTCACACAGCGAGTCTGACAACACTGCTTTGCTAAGACCCCCCAAATATTCCTCAGCACCCCATTATCACCGGACGCCCCCCCCATCATGCCCGACTGAGGTTCTCCACAGAACCTCCGTCCCAATGTCTCCACCTCCCGTAGGGCCCAAAGCTCGGTCTTCGCCCCACGCGTCCACCTGCTAACTCGCACGTCCAACCTACCCGAAGGCCCGGCCTGATGCCTCCCACGACCGAGCTTCCCCCAGTCCCCCGCCTAAGTCCCGCTTGCCATCCCTCGCCGTACCTGCAGAGTCGCACTCCCGAGAGCCGGCGGCGGCGGACATTTCCCTGCCAGCTTCCTCAAGCTCCTCATCCCGCCGCCCGCCCGCGTGCTCCGCCCACCCCAGACGAGCCCGCCCCCGCGTGCCACTCCCGCCAATCGAAATTACGTTTGACTCACAGCCCCACCCCCAAACAGAACTAACCCCGCCCCCTGATACCTGCTATCCTCGAATCCCCACTTTCCTTTCCAAGATGGATACCTGCCTCCGCCAATTGCTGCGCACCAGGGTGAGGTACCCGGGGCCGTGTTCCAACCGCGTGCTGTGGGAGCCTCTGGCGCTGGCTCCACACACTTGTAACGGGATAGCCAGAGGAACTCAGGATCCGGGGTCGCAGGATCGAATCCTGTGTCAGGAACAAGGAGCACAGTCTGAACCACGGGCTTGTGTTCTGGGAAGAATCTTCAACTGTGTTGCCCCTGGGCACCGCGTGGGTCTGAGGCCCAAATGCAGTAACGTGCTCTGACCCAGAGAGCCTGCCATTACTCCAGCCTCAAAGAACTGCACGCTAAGGTCTGTGCTCCATCTATGTATATAGATAGATAGATAGATAGATATAGATAGCTTTGTGAGCTAGGAAACGCTTCCAATTTTATATGCGAGGTGACTGGGTTCAGAGAGGTAAAGTCCAGAGTCAGAATCAGGGGTGCAGGGCCTTCATCCAGAAGTTAGCATGTTAGAGTGGGTTGGCGCATTAACCTGTAACCTCCGTCTGCAGTTTGCAAGCCACCCCAGGGACAAACGCTCTGAGTCAAATGCACGCAAAATAGACTATCAGTGCTGGTCCTCTGGATCCATCTTAACTACCTCTCCTTCCTAGAAGCTCTTGAACCTCACTTGCTTCCAACTCATAACCGGGTCAGTCTGACTTTAAAACACTTGATAGAAACCCTTCTCCTATCCTGCATATTTGCTTGTGGAGCTACAGAAAGTTGATCCAACTGAATTGGACTTGCAAGGACATCAGAAATGGAAAGACTTGGGCTTCTGCTGCCTGACATGACCAGGCAGCACTTTTTAACATTTCTATATACTAACCTATATCCAGTCTCATCTAATCCAAAAACAAAACAAAATCCACCTTGGATTGTTGTGTAAGACATGTTTATATTTCCATTGTGCAAATCAGAAAGCCAAGATGTGGGTCAGGTGCAGGTGGCTCATGCCTATAATCCTAGCTACTCAGGAGATTGAGATTTGAGGATCATGGTTTGAAGCCAGTCCAGACTTTAAGTCCATGAGATTCTTACCTCAAATTTACTACCAAAAAGCTGTAAGTAGAGCTGTGTTTGTAGTGGTAAAGCAACAACCTTGAACGAAAAAGCTAAGCATCAATGCCCAGGCCCTGAGGTTAAGCCCTAATAAAGGCACAAAAAAGAGAAGAGGGGCAGGGCACCAGTAGCTTACACCTGTAATCCTAGCTACTCAGGAGGCTGAGATCTGAGGATCACGGTTCAAAGCCAGCCCTGGCAAGAAAGTCCTTGAAAATCTTATCTTCAATTAACCACCAGAAACCCAGAAGTGGCACTGTGGCCCAAGTGGTAGAGTGCTCACCTTGAGCTGAAAAGCTGAGGAACAGGGGGTAGGGCCAGAGTTCAAGCCATACTACCAACAAGAGAGAGAGAAAGAGAGTAAAACAGGAGAGAAAGAAATAGTATAGACTTCCTGCTAGTTACTGGAAATGGGATTTGAACCCCAGAGCAGGTAAGAGACCTACAAGACAGATCCTAAAGAAGAAAAAGAACTTATCCATGACTTTAAATTACTTTCAACATTTATATACTACTACCTATAATTCAGTCTTATCAGATCCACCCTAAAAAAGTGGGGTGTCAGTGGCTCATGCCTGTAAGCCTAGCTACACAGGATGCTGACATCTGAGGATCACGGGTCAAAGTCATCTTGTGCAGAAAAGTTCATGACATTATTATCTGCAATTAAGCAACAAAAGAGAAAAGTTGGAAATGGGGTTGTGGCTAAAGTGGTAGTATACAACCCTTGGGGATAGCACACACACTTTGAGATCAAGCCCCAGGACCTGCACACACAAAAAAAACCTTGGATTGTTAAATCATCCTTGACTTCTCTCCTCTATTCATACAGCTCTGTCCATCCATTTAACAAACATTTGTTAAATGGCTAGTCACTGTTCTAATCAGTTTTAAAGTTGTCAACACCAAACCAAATTCACAGCTCCCAAGGCAATTTCACTGTCCTCAGTAGAGCCTCCTTAGTACTTCTCCAGCCCATCTTTCCTTCCCAATCCTATCCCATGGCCAATTCCCTACTCTCAGCCTCATTCCAAATGCCTGTAGCACTATAATACATTCCAGGCTCCTCCTTTCTATGGTTTTTATCAGGGGAGCTTTTCTAATTTCCCAATCTTGCTTAACCACTCCCCAGTTTTCCTTAAGAGCTCTCTACAAGGGCAGAGTCCAAGTTCCTTGTTATTTATTTCAGGCTCTTCAAGAGCTGCCCTCTGCTGGTCTCTCCTGCCCAGCTCTCTCCACAGCTTTTCCAAGATCAGCCCAGCCTGCGCTCCTCCCTCTCATTGCTTGCCCTTTTCCCTCATAGCCTGGGGGGGGAGGGAAGGGGAGAATGGGGGAGGAAGGGATACTCTTGTTCTTCTAAGCTTTAACACCACCTCTTTCATCAAGGCCTCCTAGAGCTGTTCACACACAGAGACTGAGACAGAGAGAGACCAAATAAGGAAGAACAAGAGCAAAACAGTTGAAAACTCAGACTCTGGAGTAAGACTCAGCTAAGCTTGTTCATCCTGGCTCTCCACAGTGTACCGGCTGTGCACTCAGGAAAAGCACCTACTGTCTTGGAGCTTCAGTTTCCTTATCTGTAAAATGGAGACCTTGATAATACTAACCGTGAAGGCTGTAGAAGTATTAAATGTGATAGTTTGTTAAAAAAAAAAAAAAAGGTTTTAGAATGGTGTCTAACACATAAGTCCAAGAAGGAGAAAATATTTTCTGAGTTGTTGCTATCTGGATGAGAACTTTCACATGTGTTCTTTCTTTCTTATTTGTTAGCTGTGGGGGTTGAACTCAGGGCCTAGGTGCTGTCCCTTAGCTTTTCTTGCTCAAGGCTAGTGCTCTGCCACTTTGAGCCACAATACCACCTCTGTTTCTGGTGGTTTATCGGAGGAGATAAGTCTCATGGACTGCCAGGGCTGGCTTCAAGCTACCATCATCCTCAGATCTCAGCCTCCCAAGTAGCTAAGATTACAGGCATGAGCCACCAGCACCTGATTCACGTGTGTTCTTTCTTTTAATTCTCACAACCCCATGAGGGATATTCATGACATGTAGAAGATTACCAGAATGAAGGCCCAGAAAAGTGAAGTGGTTTGCCAAAGTCACACAGCTAGGGACTGTCAGAAATGGATTTCAAGTCAAAGAGGCTGTCTCCTTGCTCTTACAGGTTGGCTATCCTTTCCAAAACACTATTTTTTGTTTTGTTTTTTTGGTCTGGTCGTGGGGCCTGAACTCTGGGCCTGGGCGCTGTCCCTCAGCTCTTCAGCTCAAGGCTAGCACTCTACCACTTGAGCCACAGTGCCACTTCCAGCTTTTTTTTTTTTCTGCTTATGTGGTGCTGAGGAATCGAACCCAGGGCCTCATGCATGCAAGGCAAGCACTCTACCACTGAGCCACCTTCCCAGCCCTCCAAAACACTTATAACCAAAAGTGCTTCAGTAGGTTTTAAGGCTGATGGCTCCAGGTGCCTATGGCGCATGCCTATAACCTACCTACTCAGGAGTCTGAATGCTGAGAACTACATTTCAAAGCCAGCCTAAGTAGGAAAGTTTATGAGGCTCTTATCTCCAATTAGCCAGCAGAAACCCACAAGTAGAGCTGTGGCTCAAGTAGTAGAGTGCCAGCCTTAAGTAAAAAAGCTAAGGGACAGTGCCCAGGCCCTGAGTTCAAGCCCCAGGACAGGTACCAAAAGCTGGGGGGGTGGGGGGCGCACGCTGGGAATGTGGCTTAGTGGTAGAGTGCTTGATCAGCATACATGAAGCCCTGGGTTTTATTCCTCAGTACCACATAAACAGAAAAAGCTGGAAGTGGCAGTGTGGCTCAAGTGGTAGAGTGCTAGCCTTGAGCCGTAGTGCCCAGGCCCTAAGTTCAAGCCCCAGGACTGGAAAAAAAAATGTGCATAAAACAAACTTTGATGGTGTGGTATTTTCTACTTGTTGGCATCATATTGGCACTTAAAAGTTTTGGGGTTTTAGAGTACTTCAGAGTTTGGATTTCCAGATTCAGGATGCTCAACTGGTATTACTGTTACTATCCCTCCTAAAACCATTACTAATGATCATTAAATGATAGTAATTATTTTATTTTTTTTTTATTTTTTGCTGGTCATGGGGCCTGAACTCTGAGCCTGGGCATTGTCCTTCAGCTCTTCAGGTCAAGATTAGTGCTCTACCACTTAAGCCACAGCGCCACTTCTGGCTTTTTCTGCTTATTTGGTGCTAAGGAATTGAACGCAGGGCCTCATGTATGCAAGGCAAGCACTCTACCACTGAGCCACCTTCCCAGCCCAAGTAATTATTTTAAAATTTAGAAATAAATGTTCGCCGGGAACCGGTGGCTCAGGCCTGTACTCCTAGCTACTCAGGAGGCTGAGATCTGAGGATCGAGGTTCAAAGCCAGCCCAGGCAGAAAAGACCATGAGACTCCTATCTCCAATAAACCACTAGAAAACTGGAAGTGGCGCTGTAGCTCAAGTGGTAGAGTGCTCGCCTTGAGCTAAAGAGCTGAGGGACAGCGCCCAGGCCCAGAGTTCAAGTCCCACAGCTGACAAAAAAATTAAAAATAAAAAAATAAATGTTCCCCTGCTTATAGAATAAATTTTAAACTCCTTAGCCACCCACTCAAAGCTTTATATTCTTGTTTCTACTTTCTTTCCTCCACCCAGAAGCCAGTTTGCCAGTTCTTCCTGGCACACCTGAGCCCTCAAGACTCAGGCTTGAGACCATTATACAATCACACAAGGCCAAGCTCTCCCCTTACACGCCCCCCACCCCAACACAGAGACTAGATGTTGGCCTGAAACAACTAATGCCACTGAGTGAACACCTGAGCCTCAGCACCTGGTGGCTTAAATTTGCATGTTCTGTAATTGGTTCTCTCCTCCTCACAAACTCTCCTTTACCTCCAATCAAAACAAATGCTGTCTAGAAGCCTCTAACCTTTTGCTGCAAAGTCAAAGCTAGACCATTTTCTCAGCTGTACTGAGGGATAGAGCAGGTTTCAAAAGCAAGAAAACCCATATGACAGGCTTCTCTTGATTCCAGCTATGAGTGGCAGAGAGAAGATGGGCCTCTAGAATCTGCTGGCCGTGCCAACTTGTAAGAAATTCTGCCACAAGGTCACAACCCATATTCTGCAGCCCTGCTTAGAGCCAGAAGAACTAAAGTGCTCTACAGTAGTTAATGCTTGGGTCCAATGTTATATAGTTCATGCTTAGATCCAAAAACCTTAATGCAGAAACACAAACACCATGGCTTGCATACAGTCTGGGAGTGTCACCATTCCATGCCAGGAAACGGGAGGGCCACAGAAATTGTAATGTATGAGTTCAAAAGTTAGAAAATGGACTAGAGTGAGCAGGTCAGCTCCCCAGCCAGCAGATACCCACCCTGGGAGCCTTAGGTCTTACTTACTTGGACAGGCCCTGGTGACTTCCTGGAGGAACATCCTAGTGTGTGAACCAAAGGGCAGTTGGAATATCAGGCTGAGCTTTGCTGTGTCCAGCTGGACAGTCACATCTGAACCTACAGAAGGAGCAGGAAATGAGCCCTTGGCCACCAGGAGTGAAGAGTTAATTTTTTTTTTAATTTTTGCCTGTCCTAGGGCTTGAACTCTGGGCCTGGACGCTGTCCCTGAGCTCCTTTTACTCAAGGCTAGCACTCTACTGCTTTGAGTCACAGTGCCACTTCTGATTTTCTGGTGATTAATTGGCGATACGAGTCTCACAGACTTTCCTGCTAGGTTTAGCTTCAAACCATGACCCTCCAGTCTCAGCCTCCTGAGTAGCTAGGCTTATAAGTATGTGCCTGGCTCTTAGATTAATTTTAAGTATGGAGTCCCTAGAATAGAGAATTTAGCCCTGGCTCCAGATGGTCCTTTGACTACCACTGCTGATAAGACAATAAAGGATAAAGGAACCCTTTGGCCCCTCAGTTCCACATGAGCTCCCACTTTTCAGAGGGAGCTCAAGACTATGAAAAGTCAATAAGCCTCACTACTGCATCACATGGTTCTAGCAGAGACAAGTTCTCTGGAGCTGTAGTCCTTCCGTCACCACCCTCACCCCATGCAGGATGCACAGCACATAGAGGCGGGACTAGAAGAACAGTCCATGAGTTGGTCTTCCTGGAAGTTCCAAGCTCTTTGCTAAGGCACAGTAAAGAAAACAGATGTGAGTCTATGTTCAGAGAACTAGACTAGAAAGCTCCTTATACATAGCATATGCTCAGCCCAAGGTGAGCACTTGAAAAAAGAAAAAAAAAATAAAAAGAATGGACAGAAGCCATTTAGCAGAGTGATAAGAGTTAAATGATAGGCTGGGAATGTGGTTTAGTGGTAGAGTGCTTGCCTAGCATGCATGAAGCCGGGAGTCCAATTCCTCAGTACCAATAAACAGAAAAACCTGCAAGTGGCATTGTGGCTCAAGTGATAGAGTGTTAGCCTTGAGCAAAAGAACTCAGGGACAGTGCCTAACCCTGAGTTCAAGTCCCAGGACTGGCAAAAAAAAAAAAAAGAGAGGGCCGGGGAGGGAGAGAGGGTTCTAGCACCCTGGGCATGACAATGCACAAATGTTATCCCAACAATAAGGGAGACACGATGGCTGGGCCTGGTGGCATGTACGTGCCATCCCAAATGACACAGGGTAGCACAGTAAGAGGACCACAGTCCAGGCTGGTTGGACATTAAGCAACACCCTATCATGAGATTGCCTGCCTAACAAATGTGAGGCCCTAAGTACACTCTTCATTACCACCAAAAACAATTTAAAAAGTAAGGGCTGGGAAGGTGGCTCAGTGGTAGAGTGCTTGCCTTGCATGCGTGAGGTCCTAGGTTCGATTTCTCAGCACTACATAAGCAGAAAAAGAAGGAAGTGAGGCTGAGGCTCAAGTGGTAGAGCGCTAGTCTACAGCTGAAGAGCTGAGGGACAGCGCCCAGGCCCAGAGTTCAGGCCCCATGACCGACCCAAAATAAATAAATAAATAAAAAGTATAGGCTTCAGACTCTGGATTCTGAGTTTGAATCCTGGTTCCACTAAGTACTAATTTTTTAAATTTCCCTGCACCACAGTTCCTTTATCATAAAATGGAGACGAAAACAGTAATAATCTCATATCACAGAGATTTATTTATAGATCTGGCCAAATCTTAGATAAAAACAGTGATACTCTCATATCACAGAGATTTATAGGTCTTGCTAATTTTTTTTTAATTAAAGGCCCCAACATAGCTTCTGTTTTTGAGCTTTTTAGACAGATAGTCTACCACTTGAACACCGACCTCTCAATCTTGCCAAATTTTGTGTATAAAACTTTTATCATAGGGGAGGGGGGAAGGAGAAGGATTGGAATGGGGGGAAGGGGGGAGGCTGGGAAGGGATGGGAAGGGAAGGGTAAACAAAGGAGGCTGCAATGCTTGGTAAGAAATGTACGCATTATCCTGCCCATGCAATTGTAACCCCTCTGTACAGTATGTTCACAAATAAAATAAAATTAAATTAAAAAAAACTTTTATCATATAACTTGGCAGAAGATAATCACTGATTAAACGTTCACCTCTATTATTATTGCCTAGCAAAGAAGTCAGACATTATTTAAGTGAAAACAAATAATTGAATTCCTATGAGTTACAAAGGGCTGGCTAGGATGAGAAAAGACACATATATCAGTGAGAGAAAAGCAATTTCAGGGCTTTGTCAAAGACTTCCTGGGAGCTGGAAGGCATGTGCCTCACACTATATAGCTCATGCCTATAATCCTAGCTACTCAGGAGGCTGAGACCTGAAGATCACAGTTTTCCAACTGGAGCAGGAAAGTTCATGTGACTCTTAGCTCCAATCAGCTACTAACAAAGCCAAAAGCGAAGCTGTGTCTCAAGTGGTAGAATGCCAATCTTGAGCACAAAAGCTCAGGGAAAGCACCCAGGCCTTGATTTCAAGCCTTGGATAAGCAACAACAAAAAAAAGAAGACAGACAGAAAGAAAGAGAGAGAAAAGAAAGAAAAGAAAAGGAAGGAAGGAAGGAAAGAACGAAAGAAAGAATGAAAGAAAGAACAAAAGAAAGAAAGAAAGAAAGAAAATGTGTGAAATGAAGTCTGGAAGGTACAACTATCCATGGAGAAAGTGGCTAAGTGTAGGAAGGAGGAACCTCTGCCATTAGATTATGTGATGTTTCAGATGACTGAGGCCTTCCAGAGGACTCCAGTGCAGCAAGCCTGTGGAACAGTGATAGAGATGAGCCACAAGAGGCAGGTGGACAGGGCCATATCTGTACAGTCTTATTACCACAATAAGAATAGTGGGAGCCAGAAGTGATGTACTAATGGCTCATTCCTGCAACCCTAGCTACTTAAAAGGCTGAGATCGGAGGATTGTGGTTCAAAGTGAGCCCAGACAGGAAAGACTATGTGATTCATCTTCAATTAACCACCAGAAAAACAGAAGTGGCACTGTGACTCAAAATAATAGAGCACTAGCCTTGAGTGAAATCGATCAGGGACAGCATCCAGGACTGAATTCAAGCTCCACAACAGACAAAAAAAAAAATTTTTTTTTTAATAGTGGAGTTGTTCTTATTTCATACCATTCCTCTCTGTTTGAAAATAGTCCTCCCCTTATTCTCCACTGGGACCCAGACTGACAGGACCACTCACCAAGGATGTAGAGTTCACCATCTGGGGATACTGTGGGAAAGGAAAATGAGAAGTTTTTAGCAACTGAGGACCCCTGACCCCACACACACATACACACAAGAACAGAGAAACCTAGAGGGGAGGAGCTCCCAGAGGAGAGGGATTCATACCACCCAACTTCCTGTGGCACCTTCTTCCAGTGTAAAATCCCGAGAGACTGGTATAATCTGATCCAAAGAGACATCATCCCCTGTAATGGCCATCCTCCGGTGTGTGTACAGGAAGAGACTAAGGGCAGAAAGCAGAAATGAGAACAGAACCCACTGGCCATACCATGGAGCCCCAAGTGCTCATGCTCTCTCAGTCCTTCTATTCTGGCAGTAGCCTGGCTGGACCCACTCCTCAACCTCTCTGACCACAATGACCTTGAAGGATACAATTTATGAATGAAGGGCTGGGAAGGTGGCTCAGTGGTAGACTGCTTGCTTTGCATGCATGAAGCCCTGGGTTCGATTCTTCAGCACCACACAAGCAAAAAAAAAAGAAGAAAGCCAGAAGTGGCGCTAGCCTTGAGCTGAAGAGCTAAGGGACAGCGCCCAGCCCAGAGTTCATGACTGGACCCAAAAAAAAAAATTATGAATGAAGCCATAAAAGTTGTACTTGTCTCATTTGGAAGAGCACGTCCCTTGTTAGCAAAACACAGCTGATTTGGGCTGGATTGTATGTTACAGGAACTGTGCATGCTTAGCCACCTCCTTTCTTTACCTGAACCTCAGTTCCCCTACCTATAAAATCAGGAGAGTGGATTAGGAAATGTCTAAGGCTCCCCTCCCCCAGCTCTGAGACACTGAGATTCACTTATTAGCTATGAGACCTCTGCCAAGTATTATTCTCTTCTCCTGTGTAATAGGCAGATATTCCCAGGTGACACTTAATGAGCACCTTCTTTGTACTTCATACTGTGTTTAAAACCTTTACATGTACTAACTTACTTTAATCTTTTTGCTTTAGGGGAGGGTGTGCTGGAGACTGAACCCATGGCCTTATACCTACCTGCGCTCTACCACTGAATTATACCCTCATCCCCAATACTCTAATCTTTCATCTGAGAAAAGGGATAAAACAACTTGCCTAGGATTACAATGCCTAGATGTGAATCCAGACATTCTGGCCATGAGCTCAAGATCTGGACACTGTGATAACTATGTCTTTTCCAGAAGTCTCCCCCATGTCTTGATGATTATATGAGTTAATGCATGCAAAAAGGCTCTAAATATGGTGTTCAAGGAACAATCACTATCATTATCTCTCTCTAGGAGACTTAGACCCAGCCCTGGAGGGATGGCTGAAGTCCAACTGGAGGGTACAATGAAGTCTGTTATGGCCCAGAAAACAGGGTGCCCAGACTCTATCACTCACGCGTATTCCTGGCCACCATGCTCCAGGCCGTAGCGCACCAACCCCAGCAGGCGGCTCTGCCTGCTGTCTCCCTCACACAGCGTACCTTGTACTGCCTGCTGCTCAGTCAAGGGAAAATCAAAGTCCAGGCCAGGCTGTTCCAAATCCAGTTCACTCCACTAATCCCTGCCTTTTCCTGCCCTGCCCCCCTCCCCAAGGTGTGAGCTTGGATAAGTCACTTCACCTGTGAGCCTTGGTCATTGTGAAATTGGAATGAATAATTTCCACTATCTCCAGGTTGGAAGTTGCATATTTAAAGCACCTGGCAGAGCGTCTAGGACCAAGTAAGTACTTTAAAATAAATAGTAGGCTCCTTCTCTTCTGATGGCTAAAAGAGGGGTAAGGGACAGTGACTGACATTCGACTTCTCAAAGCCAGGACAAGGCCCAGCCTGCGGGGAGCTCAAGACTAGAAAGGATATGATGATGCAGTATTCCCCCTCTGCCAGCGTCTCCTGGATAGCCACAGACTGGTCCATGCTGGATCCTGTTGAGCAGACATGCATGGAGGAGAGTTGATGGAAATTAATTTGGGTCAATTCCATGAGGTGACAGAAGGAGGGGGAGGGCTTTTGAAGAGGAAGGAGGGGCCTTTGTAGAGGAAGAAGAAAAAGCCTGGTCCTTCTCCCTACAATGTGCCTTTGAGTTTCCAGGGAGAGGGTCCCCATCCCTTTTCCTCTGACCATGTCTGATTCATTGTACCACCCACCCTCTGTCTGGGAGGGCATCCAGCTCTTCCTGAGTGGGGACCAGACTTCTTGTTGCAAATAGGAGACCGGGTTCCCTTGCTTCTAGGATAGGTCTCGGCCTCCAGGATTGGTCCTCTCTGGGAGAAGGTGAGGACATATCTGAATATACTCGAGAGAGACATCTCCCCTTACTCTAGGAAGGGAGAATCCCACCCAGGAAAGAAGCCCAATCCTGTTGGCTCCTTTTTATCTGGAGGCGGGAAAAGCAGCTCGCCCTGTTGCTCCTTGCCCACACCCCACCCAGCAGGCCCGTTGCATCAGTCTCGGACTAGGGGTGGGCTGTCTGACAGCCGCCGGGCAGGGGTCCCAGCCGTCAGCTTGTCCACTTCCTCTCACTCCGCATCCCCTTGTAGCGCCCCCCCTCCGCCTCCCCCGCCATTGCCACCTACCTCCCCAGCTGTCAACGCTAGGTCCTCGGTACCCGGGCTGAGGCCGAGCCAGGAACTACATTTCCCAGCAGTCCCCGGTGCCACAGGACAGCCGGACGGCCTGCAAGTCCCAGCATGCCCGAGTCAGTACTGGGGGCGTCTCCACATCCCTGTTAACTCCGTAGGTCCTGGGATAGCTGGAGTTCCAGCGCTGAGAAACCGCTCTAGTCCATTCCGCATCCTCAGTCCTCCAGATCATCGAACCAAGATTCCTTTCCCTGAAGTCCTCAAAGGGGGAAAAAAATCTCCCCTCCTTAATTCCACTCACTACTCCCTAGAGGGGATAGACCTCTGCTGAGAGTCTTTCTCCCTTAAATAACTACTCTTAAATAATTACCCTATCCACGTGCCTTTGGTAGAGGGATTTGTCTTTTCAGGCTTCATTATCCTCTTCTAAGTTAAGGAAGTTGTTCCAGATGGGCAGGTTAGATAAGAGATTCCAGGGAGGACTCTCTTGGCCTGTGGGCCATTTGCTAAAATGAGTTTCTTGAGGTCTCATCCATTTTGAATAACTGGATCTCAGGACATATTTGTTCAATTAATGAATTATCTTAATGACGACACCTGCTCTCTAGCAATGATCCACAGTGAAAGAGCAGCTGGGCCAGTGGTGGGGAAGGAGTAACTTCTTTTTTCTTTTTGTTATTATAAAGCTGATATACAGAAGGGTTATCGTTACATAACTCAGGTAATGAGTACATTTCTCTTTGGACAATGTCACCACACCAGTTTCATTTCTAACTAGTCCCCTCCTCTTCCCCTAAAGACTAGTTCAGCCCTTTCCAGAAGCAGATGTACAATCTATGTTATTTTCCTGGAAACATTTACTACACTAATGGAGCACAACTTATTAGAATTTAGTTTCAAAGTCAAATGGGGGATGCGAGGGAAAGGGATTGATTCTGACTCTTTGAGATTAAGGAGGTAGATGTCAGGGAACCTACCCTGAAGTCTCCTTTTCTTTCTTTCTTTCCTTCCTTCCTTTCCTTGGTTGCTTTGCTTGTTCTCTTTCTTTTTCTGATACTGGAATTTGAACTCAGGGCCTCTGTTTGTTTGCAAGGCTGGCATTCTACCACACACATCCAGTCCCTTTTGGCGGGGAGGGGGCTGGTTATTTTGGAGATGAAGCCTTACAGACTGTTCTACCTAGGCTGTCTTTGAACCCCTATAGATATCAGCCTTCTGAGTAGCTAGGAGATTATAGGCATGAGCCATTAGTTCATGGCTCTAATCTTCCTCTTAATGTGAAAGGCTTGAACTGAGAGCCTGGGGCACTATCCCTGAGTTCTTTTGCTGGTTAATTGGAAATAAGAGTCTCATGGCTTTGAACTGTGATCCTCAGATTTCTGCCTCCTAAGTGTAAGGTCCGCTCCTGGATGGCTAGCAGACTCCACCCCCCTCGCAGCAAAGTCTCCATCCAGTACCTGCATTTCCTAGGCAACTGGGACACCTGGAAGAGGTCAAATCTACATCTGCTGAGGTCACATCTGAATTTGATGTGGCCACACCTTTCTCCGCCCATACCCTACATAAGGCCTAGCCCAGACCCAGACCCCCTCTCTCTGCTGTTTTCTAGCTCTTTCTCAGCTCTTTCCTTCTCTTCTCTTTCCCACTCCCTTCTCTTTCCTAGCTCTCTCTTTCCCACCTTTCCCAGATGCTCTCTTTTCTAGCTCTTTTCTCCCTCTTTCCCAGCTCTCTCTCTTTCCCAGCTCTCCCAGCTCTCTTTCCCAGGCCTTTCCCCACCGCGTGGAGGACCAAGATGGCCTGGTGCGAGCCGGAACGATGAATAAACCTACCCCTTACCTGAATACCACGTGCGTGGTGCTGTTCTTACTCGGCTACCTCGTTTTAAAAACCTAACACTAAGTAGCTAGGATTATAGACATGAGACATCAGTGCCCAGCCAGTTTTTTCATCTATGAAAAGTACCTGGCTGCACCTATTTTTTCCAGGCCCTCAGTTCAAGCTCTGCAGCTAACAAAAAACAAAAAGAAAAGACTGTCTTTGAAGGATTCTGGAGTCTCCACTGTTTAGGAGTCAGGTAGGAAGCTTTCTGTCTTTTGGAGGTTTCCCCAGAAAAATCCAAGCCTCTCTTTGGGATTGTAAAGAAGGCACTGCCATCTAGATGGGCCCCATGTTCAGGCCTAGGCTATGGAGTAATGAATGAATCCTTTTCACTAAGGATACAGGTGGTTTGGGGGCCTGCAAAGCCTACCGGGTCTTCCTAGATGTTATACCCAGTTTCTGTTAAGCCTACAAGAACAGGAGCAAAGAACAGAGGAGCAGTGGTGTGGAAGCAGCTTGAACCCATGACAGAAGGATACTAGTGGGCCCTAAAACTGAGGTTCCTATCCTGAAGGAGGCAGCTATCTGAGGCCAAAGTTTGACAGCACTATGAGTAGCCGGGCTGAACCTCAGCCTCATGACCCCTGGGGCTGCCCGCCATGAGGATCTGTCTGCAGCTGACAATGTAGTCTGAGCTGCAGGAACAGATGGGACCATTCATCCTCCCGTTATCCCTCTCTTCTCCTCACAGAGGCAGACGATATGAAATGAAACTTGGGCTGAGCTGCTCCTCACTGATCTCCCAGCTCCTTTCCCATGAGGTCAACCAGTCCCCAGAGACCAGTAAGATCAGGAACAAGTAGGCATAGCATGGAGATGTGAATAATTCTAGCTGTGGCCCTGGGCTTTGACATTATGTAGAGCTGAGAAAGTCACACTAGTTAGAGTCCAGGCAGGCTGGCTCGCCCAAGATCGAACTCCAACTAAACTCCAGGACTGAGAGAGAGGACAGTAGCCCAAACCTTGGTGTGCCTCAAGCTTACTTCATAGAACTCTGAGCCCTCAGAGTACATGCTCACAGCTTCCTGCCCTTTTGAAACAACTGCTTCCTTAGCAGGAGAAAGTGGTGCAGTTTTTCTCCTGGAAGAGAAAGCAGGACACTAAGTCAGGAGCCTCAACACTGTGACACAGTGACACTGTGCCTGTGTCACTGGTCCTGGCCAGCCACCACATGTTGACAATGATTTCTCCTCCACTTCTCAGAGCAAGCATCTGTAACAAGATGGTGGTTACCAGGGATGGAGTGGGGAATGACTTGTCCTTTGATGGATTGCCAGCTTGGGAGTAGAATAGGTAGCCTGGGGAAGTGCTGTGACACCTTTGGGGTGGGAGCAACTCCTCTGAAAAGTTGTGTTGTGAACAACTCACAACCTGTAATCTCCCCTGGACAGACACAGGCTGCTCTATGTCTCCTTGGAGCTGAAAAATTAGACAAGTTGGTCTGGGAGAAGTGAGAGGATCTGTTAGAGAGCAGGTAGCCCAGCTTTAGAGAGCTTATTGGGGAGGAAAACTTCAGAGGTAGGTGTCAGGCAGACAAGAGGTTGAGTGGCTGGTGAAAACCGGGCTGAGATTTGGGGGCCTATTCAAGGGTAAGGTAGAGCTGGGTGAGTAGTGGGCAGGAGGACTATGAGCTTGTGAAGTCAGAGGTTATAGCCGTTGGGGTAGAGGGGTATCTCAGAGTTGAGACCTAGCCATATACCAGTGGTTTATAACTGTAATCCTAGCTGCACAGAAGGCTGAGATCTGAGGATTGATGTTTTGGTTTGTTAGTTTTTTGCCTGTCTGAGGGGGCTTGAATTCTGGGCCTGGGTACTGTCCCTGAGGTTTTTTTTTTGGGGGGGGTCCGGTGATGGGGCCTGAACTCTGGGGCCTGGGCGCTGTCCCTCAGCTCTTCAGCTCAAGGCTAGCGCTCTACCACTTGAGCCACAGCGCCAGCTTTTTTCTGTTTGCTTTTGTGGTGCTGAGGAATCGAACCCAGGGCCTCATGCATGCAAGGCAAGCACTCTACCATTGAGCCACCTTCCCAGCCCCTGTCTCTGAGTTTTTTTGTTCAAGGCTAGCAGTCTACCACTTGAGCCACAGTGCCACTCCTGGATTTTTCTAAGTGGTTTATTAGAGAGAAGAGTCTCACAGACTTTCCTGCATGGGTTGGCTTCAAACCAAGATCCTCAAATCTCAGTCTCCTGAGTAGAATTATAGGTGTAAGCAACTAGCACCCAGGGTCTGAGAGATTCTCATTTCCAATTAACCACCATAAAATCAGAATGGAGATGTGACTCAATGGTAGAGCACCAGCCTTAAGTGAAAAAAGTTAGTGTCCATGCCCTAAGTTTAAGACCCAGTTAAGAGAATGAGACAGAGAGACAGAGGGAGTTGGGGCACTAGGGATGAGCACCAAGGGTAGGGATGTCTCACTAGAGACTGAGGTGGACTCACTGAGCACCAGGCAAAGAGGCTGGACCAAGGCTGGGACTTGGGTTGTCAGACAGTGGTCAGCAGGGAGGAGATACAACTGGTTCTATTTCATGCATCACAGCCACCTTGGGCCTTATCTCAGCTTCTCTCAGCATCCCAAATACACTGTTCTCCCTCTCGCTCCTCAGTCTCTGTGTCTGACCGTGCCTGGATGCCAGCAAGGCCCCTCCACTCCCCTTCACCTCGGAATGACATTTTGTCTGGGCTCCATCCTGCTCTAGCCCTACACCATGTAGTGGTATCCCCTGGGCCTCACACTCTGCCATCTGGTGGGAGACCCTTGCCTCCTGGTGGTGCATCTCTCTGGAGCAATGATAGCCCTAGCTTGTCTGTGATGGGTTGGAGCACTGTGTGACTCCATCCTCATAGGTGGCAGGAGAGTCAGTTAAGAAGGTTTTTCCCTCCTTTACATGTTGCTTACCTAGACAGGAGTAGGGGTCAGCTGACTTTTTTTCTTCTTTTTATTGGCAGTACTGGAATCTGAACTCAGACCCTTGTGCTTGCTCTACCACTTGAGCTACCATACCTGTAATCCTAGCTACTCAGGAGGTGAGATCTGAGGATCATGGCTCAAAGCCAGCCTGGGCAGGAAAGTCTGTGAGACTCTTTTTTTTTGGGGGGGGGTCAGTCATGGGGCCTGAACTTTGGGCCTGGGCACTGTCCCTCAGCTCTTCAGCTCAAGGCTAGCCCTCTACCCACTTGGGTCACAGCGCCACTTCCAGCTTTTTCTGCTTATGTGGTGCTGAGGAATTGAACCCAGGGCCTCATGCATGCGAGGCAAGCACTTTACCACTGAGCCACCTTCCCAGCCCATCTGTGAGACTCTTATCTCTAGTTAGCCACCAGAAAACCAGAAGTGGCACTGTGGGTCAAGCAGTAGAGCACGTGCTTTGAGCTGAAGAGCTCAGGGATAGTGCCCAGGCCCAGAGTTCAAGCCCCATGACTGACCCCCCCCCAAAAAAATGCAGGGAAGACCAGGGTCTCTGGGCTGAGAACAGCTACCTTTGAGCAAAGCAGCCCTACCACAGACATCTGACTGAGTACTGCAGGATCTAAAGAATGAAGAACCAGCCTAGGGCAGCCCAAGCAAGGATGCAAAGAGAAAACTCCTGTCATCACATCACAGATGGGTAAACTGAGGCTGTCAAGCAGGGAGGCCAACCAGTAGCAAACACAGGATCCCAAGAGCTCAGTTTTTGCTTCCTAGAGGTCCTACTGTTACAGGGACAGCCTGAGGCAGGCCCAGGGGAGTTGCATCCTAGTAACAGCCCCCCTGAGAGTAGATGCTGTTGGCCTGGCAACAAAAACATCCAAGGCTCAAGGAGAAACCCTCAGTCAGAAGTCTGGCTTACTTTGTTAAAAGCTACTTCAGGATTCAGACTCCAACTCGTCCTTAAGTTTGATCTGAGCCAAGGGCAGGAGACAGTTCTGATTCGGATTCTTCAATCCCAGACTTTATCCCAATGTGTCTGCTTTTTCATGGAAGTCTTTTTTTCATGGTGGTGATGGGAGTGGGCATTATTTTCATCTTCCTGTCTTACCTAGGAAGCTGAGCACAACTACCACTCCTGACTCCTACAGCCAAGGGGCATCTGATCTTTTTCCTCCTGGCACTAATTCTCCATTAGCCCTCACCTGTCTCTTGGTGAGAGCTGCCAGGGTGCTGTGATTCAGGGGAAAGCTGTCAGCAAACGACCTGTCTGGGTGCCTTGTGATGGTGGTGTTTGATACATGAATAGGGCCATGCTCAGGGTGAAGTGCAGTTTGAGCAATAGGGCCCCCTTCTTTCCATCCTCATCCTTTGACCCAGAGCCTCCACTACTCAAGAAGCAGTTCTTATCCAGTCTGTATTTCTCCAAGGGGATTTTAGACTCCACAGCTAAAAGGATTAGAGCCAGGTGCCTGTCTTTGTGAGGACACAGGTCTCCCACATGAGCCCGTTTTTCCATCCCTAGTTGGGACAGATGAGGCTGGAAGGACAACTCAAGAAAATCAGAAGGCTGTGCAAAGCCTACTGGTGACCTCCTGGTTAGACTTTTTAAGCCTAAGCACTTCTCCAAGGTTAGAATATTTTCAGTATTCCTACCTGCGCGCGCCCCCCCCCCCCCAGCTGTGGAAAGTAGCAAGGGTATGTGGATGAGTCAGGGAGGCTCAGGTGCAGTCCCTGGAAGCTGGCAGCTGCCCCTCCTTCCTTGTGGGGGAAGTGGCAGCAGAGTGGTAGGGGTGGAGAAGTTAGGTCAGTTACTTAACACATTCAATCTTAGTTGCTATTGAAAAATGGGTGGGAGTAGAGAGTATCATGTTGAGCTAGGTAAGCTAGACTCAAAAAGCCAAATATTGTTTTTGATCTTATCAGAAGCTAGACCTAAAAAACATTCATGACATGTACACACATATACATATGTCTACAAATACACACATATACATAAATACATATAGATCATGATTCTAATTATGGGACATGTAGGAAGATGAACAAGGGTAAAAGAAAGATGGAGGGTGAATACTTTCAAACTATAGTGTAGGCTGGGAATGTGGGTTAGTGGTTAAGAGTGCTTGCCTAGCATTTATGAAGCCCTGGATTCAATTCCTCAGGAACTAAGGCTGTGGATCAAGTGGTAGAGTGCTAGTCTTGAGCAAAAGCAGCTCAGGGACAGTGCCCAGGCCCTGAATTCAAGCCCATGTATGAAGATGGCATAAGGAGCCTCAATGAAAGCTGTTTTTCAGTAGAGGATTGGAGAAGAGCTGTGGCTCAAAGTGGTAGAGCACTAGCCTTGAGCGAAAGAGCTCAGGGATAGCACCCAGGTTCTGAATTCACGCCCCATGTCCAACAACAACAACAACAAAAGCCTTCAATAGAAGATTAGAAGAGTGGGGGAAAAGCAATTTCTTAGCAATTCTCAAATACCATAGGGAAAAGCCTTGGTATAATTAATACACTAAAAATAAAAGAATGATAGAAAAGTAAAACAGGATCACATGGGAACGTGGGCACCAGAGGAATGGGGGTAGGATTAGAAAAGAGGGTGAATGAGGATGAGTATGGTCTGTTGAAGTAGTTTATTCATGTATGAAAATAGAACAATGAAGCCTTCTGAAAGAGGGAGAGTGGGTTGGAGGAGAGTGCTAAAGGGGGTGAGGGTGGTGAGGATACATTGTATACATGTGTGGGAATGTCACAATGAAACCCTTGTATAACTTATGTGCCCTATTAAAAAAATAGAATCTTAGCTGCTACTCAAGTTGGTGAGAATGAGGTAGGGAGGCATTAAGAAATACAAGATTGCATTAGTTCTCAGTCCTGGGCTTCAGAAAAAGACACACTGAGAATAAGGGCTGGTTTTATTTTCCCACAGAATCTTTTTTTTTTTTTTAATATAAAATGAAGATAAAACACATGTCAACCCTGCAATATGCCAGCATGTCTTGTTTCTACAAGACTCATGCTAGACCATGACTACGTAGCAAAGAGTCTTTAATAAGAGCATTTGGTTGGGAGAAATAGAAAAAGATCTCGGGGAAGCCTAGGCAAGCCCAAAGTTGAGCAACATCTCTGAACACTAGAGCAGTCCTTGTCTCTTCAGATCCTCGTATGTCTTCTTGTTCACAACATTTCCACTGGAGTCTTCATACTCTTCCTACAATGGAAGGAGTACACCTGGTTAGCTATACTCCCTGGGAGAGACATCTGGAACCAATCTCTGAGCACCTTGACCCACTTGATCTGATCCCATGGCACACCCTGGCAATCATGAGATTGGCATTCATCTAGCAAAGCCTTTCTCAACAGGGTTCCACAAAGAGTATGAACTTCTCTTAACATCTAGAACGGTACCTTTAGGGTACCTACGGAGAGTTCATTTACATCATTTCTTGTGTTTAAGATAAGGAACCCTGGCTGAGAAAGCCTGACCGAAGTCAGTAGTTTTCAAAGGCTTACCAAAAAGCCTAGGTTTCTGCCCCAGGAGGCTGAGAAGGCTGAGTTTCCCCAGGTACAGGGCAGTTCTGCTTGATTTTATTTTGTATACTAGAGTCCAACATTCCAGCTGGGAAGGGTTTTGTTGCTAAAAAAATAAATACTGCAAGCTACTGTTCTGAAAGAAAAGGAGTCGATCGACTTCCTGTCTCCAAGGGGCCTGAGGTCTATTGCTATCACAACTCACACTGGTCATTCCTTATCTCTGAAACCTGCAGCTTGGAGATGATCTCTGCCTTCAATAAGCAACCCCACCCCCACCTTGGGTGGGAGAAACCTCTCTTAGCACATGCTGTGCTCAAAGGAGATCCAGTGCAAGACAAAGACTGAACCACCACGGCACTAGAGACTGGGTACTCCTACTTGTCACTTCAGAATTTCAGTGAGAGAACACAACCTGTTTTAACATATTTAAATTATGACAAATATCACAACCAAATGAGGCTGCTCGTCAAGTCAGTTTGCAGATACTGTCACACAGAACATGTCACTGATAAACCAAGAACCATCTCTGTCTCCCTCCTACAGGGTGAGGGAGTGCTTCCCATTGGTCTGCCTCTAATGCAATGCACATCAGCACCCACCTCAGTGTCAGGCTGCCATCGCTCTGATGCCTTCTGCAGTTTCAATTTGGCCCACACTGAAGAGGAGAAATGAGCATCATAAGGACTGATGAGTTATCCACTGGGTCCACATGCCTGCACCATTCCCTGCCTCCAGCTCCCCACCTCTAGCAGGCTATCCCAGTGACTGCTTCTAACATTTGTGCCTGCCCCAAAAGGTATTTGTTTTGGACTACCTATAAACAAAAAAAATTTCCACTGCAAAATTTACCATGACCCTACTTTTCTGTAAAAGAAAAGGTGGCCAGGCGCCAGTGGCTCATGCCTGTAATCCCTGCTACTCAGAAGACTGAGATCTGAGGATCATGGCTCGAAGCCAGCCGGGGGAGGAAAGTCCGTGACACTCTTATCTCCAAAAAACCACTAGAAAACCAGAAGTGGTGCTGTGACTCAAGTGGTAGAGCACTTGTCTTAAGCTGAAGAGCACAAGGACAGCATTCAAACCCCATGATGGGGGTGTGGGGGGGAGTTAGATTAAACATAACCAAAGACTTCTCAGAATATAGAACTGATACTCTAAAAGGATGACATTAATGTGAAACAACCTATAGAAATCATAGGAGAAAGTGACTTCTCTTAAAATTTCTTAATAGGCCAGGAGCTAGTGGCTCATGCCTGTAATGCTACTCAGGAGACTGAGATCTGAGAATCGTGGTATGATGCCAGCCAAGAGAGTGCATGAGACTCTTATCTCCGATTAAACACCAAAAAACCAGAAGTAGAACTGTGGCTCAAAGTGGTAGAGCACTAGCCTTGAGCAAAAAAGCTTAGGACAGTGTCCAAGCCCTGAATTCAAGCCCCATAACAACCACAACCACCACCACCAAAAGTTTTTCAAGGAAGGGAATGTGGCTTGGTGGTAGAGTGCTTGTCTAGCATGCATGAAGCCATAGGTTCAATTCCTCAGTACCACATAAACAGAAAAAGCCAGAAGTGGCGCTGTGGCTCAAGTGGTAAGTAGAGTACTAGCCTTGAGCTGAAGAGCTGAGAAACAGCACTCAGGACCAGAGTTCAAACCCCACGACCGACATTAAAAAAAAAAAGTTTTTCAAGTTCTTAATGGGACAGACACTGGTAGCTTACACCTGTAATTTTAGCTACTAAGAGGGCTGAGATTCAAAGCCACCTTGGGCAGGAAAGCCTGTAATACCCACCAAAAAAGCTGGAAATGGAGCTGTGGCCTATATAATATGACCTTGTCTCTCCCATACACACACAGCAACTTTTTTTTTTGGTTGGTCGTGGAGCTTGAACTCTGGGTCTGGGCACGGTCCCTCACCTCTTCAGCTCAAGGCTAATGCTCTACCACTTGAGCCACAGCGCCATTCTGGTTTTCTAAGTGACTTATTGGAGATAAGAGTCTCACAGGCTTTCTTGCCCTGGCTGGCTTTGAACCAGGATCCTCAGATCTCAGCCACCTGAGTAGCTAGGATTACAGGTGTGAGATACCAGCGCCTGGCACACAGCAACATTTTGAAAGGTCACTTTTATTTAGCTCTGCCATGGAGGATCTGACAACCAGACATAGGAGCCAAAGGAGTTAGCTGACCACACCACTGAGCAGGTTGCTAAGTACAGCTGAAAGGAGTGTCTGTTATTCAACAAAGGGGAGTGGGTAAAGTGAAACATGACAGAGATGAGAGAAGCCAGAAAGAAAATGAGTTTGCCAGGAAGATGATAGCGACAGAAAATGTTTCCACTGCCAGGAAAAGTGGAGGCCTCTGACTGCTGTAGCAGTAAGTTCCTGACACTGTATGTGCTCTATCTACTCATTCTTTCTCCAAGAGGTATTTTGCGGCTGTGTTTTTGTATCCCTGCCCTGTTGCCTCGGAAATAAGCTTACTGAGGTCATTCTTCTTTCTTCCTTTATATTAGTGGTTCTAACACATTAAAATCAACTCTGAAAAAATATGTAACTCTCCCTCAAAATCTTCCACGTAGAGGTCACAGAGCCATGCTGAAAGACTTGTTTTACACTTAGCATAAGGTTCTTCTCAAAGGAGACGCAATCAGGAGTGCTACACTTTCCTCTAATTATGTACTAATTATGTCTGCTCTAGCCTTTTTATACCCACTATCTATTGCCCTTCGGTCTGCATACACAAGAGTATTGGGGACAGTGGCTGTAGGAGGAATGGCTACTTGGCTAGGCTAGCAAACAGTCAACAAACTACTTACAGGAGACAGCATCTTCAATCTGTGTCACATTAGCAAAATGAGCAGTGTTGGGTATACCCAAGCACCTCATTCCATGAGCATGACGCCATTCCTAGGGGAGAGAAGCAAATGGACAATGGGATATGGGGACAGTTGAATTAAAGCACTCACTCCGTTCTACTCAAAAGTCCTAACCTGATCCCTCTGCATAAGACTTCAAATAAAGGCAGCTTGTAAAGTTTGCTGTGACTGACAAATGGGTGACATCAAAGAGCAAATGGAATTCTCTCAGGTTTAGATTCTAGATTCAGTTGTATTATAGACACAATTTCTAGGTCAACACCACAGTATCATGACAACTCAAACCTCATGCCTCCCATATGCTGTGGGAGAAGCTGACAGACCCCAGCAGTTTCTACAATCAGCATTAGGGTATGGTAGTATGCTGGTGCCATCTCTGTACTGCTGATTGGGGCGAAGAGGATGTAAGAGGAAGAGAAACTGAAGTTGTGACCATTTTGGATCTGGGATATCAAGCCAAGGGCTCTGAGTTCCTTACAGCAAAGTGCCGCTGGAAGGCCTTAGGTCCTCGGTAGGTGTAGTTCCCACAAATCTCACAGTTGTAGTTGATATTTAGGCCATGAAGTTTATATAGCCAGTAGGGAATGGGCTAAAAGAAACCACATAAGAAACACTGTTAGTTTACTTCAGTCTGCATGCTGCTTCCTAAAGGGGAACAGGGAGAAAGTGGGAGTGTGAGACTCACTTTGCCATCCCAGCCCAGAGGCAGGTTTTTGGGATTGTAAATGATCTCATTCTCTTCATCTTCACTTTCACTCTCACTAATCTGTTCTTCTTCCTCCTCTTCTCGCTCCTCTCCTGTTCTGGCTTGCTTGCGTTGTACATTTTCATGAGTAAGTTGTCGCTGTTCCTAAAATAGATCATATAAAAAAGGAATGTCAGAGCAAAGTAATAACAAAACACAAAAAGGATGTTTTCTATTTTCCAGAAACTAGCTAATCCTTCACTTCCAAGGGAAAGTTTTTTTGTTGTAGAATACAGAAAAGTCTTAACTTCACACTAAAACTTCCTACCAGCACAATTCGCTTGCTCCTGAAGGAAAAGTCAAAGACTGTTGAGCTGGGCACTGGTGGCTTACACCTGTAATCCTAGCTACTCAGGAAACTGAGACCTAAAGATCACAGTTCAAAGCCAGCTCGGGCAGAAAAGTCAATGAGACTCTTATCTCCAATTAACTATCAGAAAACCACAAGTGGAGCTGTGGCTCAAAGTGGTAGCCTTGAGCAAAGTAGCTCATAGACAGTGCCCAAGTTCTGAGTTCAAGCCCTTTGACCAACAAAACAAACAACAAAATGAATATCATCCATCAGTGGCTCATGCCTGTAATCCTAGCTACTCAGGAGGCTGAGATTTGAGGATCTCAGTTCAAAGCTAGCCCAGGCAGGAAAGTCGCCAATTAACCACCAGAAAACAGGAAGTGGAGCTTTGGCTCTAAGTGGCAGAGCTAACCTTGAGCATATATATAGGCTTAACGACAGTGCCCAGGCCAAGTTCAAGCCCCACAATTGACAAAAAAACACGATTGTCAATCACGTGCCTAAATTATTTATCTGAAGCTGCAGACCATCAGAAAACAGTCTCATCTGTTCTGCCCTCAAGAATTTCCTGAACATTTTGTTTCTCCTTTCTGTTGTCACTGACATAAAAACAACCACTTTTTAACTTGCCTGAGCCTCCTTGATCCAGGCCACTATCGATTCTGCTGTCAGATATTTCTGTTCATAAAACTAAATCTCTCTTTCTCTCGTTCTATCTCCTTTGTGCCATTCCTGGGGCTTGAACTCAGGACCTGGGCTTTTTGTTTTTTTTGGTCGGTCATGGGGCTTGAACTCTGGGCTTGGATGTTATCCCTCAGTTCTTCAGCTCAAGGCTAGTGCTCTACCACTTGAGCCACAGCACCTCTTCTGTCTTTTCTGTTTCTGTTGCGCTAAGGAATCGAACCCAGGGCCTCATGCATGCGAGGCAAGTACTCTACGACTGAGCCACTTTCCCAGACCTGAGTATCTGATTCTTTGGTGACCCTCTGGCCTCAGCAGAAGCTCAGGCACTACTCAGATACCACTATAAACAGAAGAATCCTTTATGGACATTGGGCAGCCTTGAGAATATCACCCAGCAACAGAACAGGAACCTCTTAATGGGCCAAAGACTGAGAGAACTCTATTCCTCTTTGGAAACTGAAAAAAAATTCCTGAGTTCCTGTCTCTCTTACTTTCATCATTAGTAGTATTTACTACTACCATCAGTAGAGCCACTTAAGAGGATCACACAAGCAAAAGGGTAGTTACTTACCCCAAGAATCTCCACATATTCATAGATCTGGGCTTCTAGGAAAGCAATGTCTTTGTTCCTCTCAGTGTCTCTGAGAACAAGAAATAAACTGTCAATGTTTTTTTCTTTCATGCGATTGTTTCTAACACATTTATGAGATTATTTCTTTGTTGCTTTGTATGTCCCTCCCCCACGGTATAACCTCTGCTTTCACTGTATTTAATGTCAGTATAATTTGTGGAGGGGAAGGGAAAAAACAAATCGTTTAAATAGGGATACAGGTGGACCCATTGCAATAATGAGAAGTACAAGTCATTATGTCGAAAACGAACTTTTCAACTTTGGTGAGAGGGGGGAAGAGAAATGGGTGGGGGGCCGGGCGCTGGTGGCTCACGCCTGTAATCCTAGTTACTCAGGAGGCTGAGATCTGAGGATCGTGGTTCAAAGCCAGCCCGGGCAGGAGAGACCGTGAGACTCCTATCTCCAATAAACCACCAGAAAACCG